GCCCTGGTCTGGAGACCTAACGGACCTTTCCATACCAATACTCCCTCCAGAGCACCCACCCACCTGGCCCCACAACCCAGCAGGCTTGGGCATTGCCCCTGTCACACAATTCAAAAGGAAATGCGGCACAAGGGAAAGCAGAGCCTGGCCTCTTGTTTCAGAGAGGTCCCAGGGTCACCCCAAAGGATAGCCAACACTTTCTGCCCTGAGAACTGAGCAGGGCAGAAAGGCCTGACAAAACACTCCCTGGACCCCAGACTGGAGGCCATGGGGAAGGCAGAGTGTCCAGACAAGCCAATTGCTGGGCCTGTGGCTCTTCTGTGCTCCTAGCAGCACACCCCTGCCAAGAGACCTGCTTGGCAAAGAGCTGCTAAGTTAGGGGCAGCACATGTGTTGGTGCCTATAAGGTATCTGTATAAGGCTGGGGAAGGAGGTCCCTATCCCCTCTCATACACACACAGCTGGAGAAGGTGGACACAAGCCAAAAGACCCCCACCAGAATGGCCCTAAACTACAATGGGTATCTGTGCCTGGGGCCACGAGCACCATCCAGCACCTTCTGTAACATGGAAGGGCAAGGCACGCATGGCACTGGTGAGACTGATACTGGACTACAGCCCCTTGCTCTAACACCACATTTTAAAACGGATGGTGTCAAGGAGGAAACGGTGCAGCAAAGAGCCGCCAAAATGATTCACGAGCTGGAGAAACTGCCTTGCAGTGAGAGGCTTCAAGAGCTCAATCTGTTTAGTTTATCAAAAGGAAGATTGAGCCATGACTTAATTACAGTGTGTAAGTACGTCCATGGGGATGACATACCCGGCACTAAAGGGCTCTTTATCCTAGTGAGAAAGGCAGAACAAGAACCAAGGGCTGGAAGCAGAAGCCAGACAAATTCAAACTGGAAATGGAGCACACATCTTTAACAGAAAGGAGGATTAATGCTGGGAGCAACCTCCAGAGAATGGGGGGAGCCTCCAACTCGATGTCCTCAGACCCAGACTGACTGTCCCTCAGGAAGACACTACAGCCACACACAAGTTACTGGGCTCAGTACAGGGGTAACTGGATGAAATACAGTGGCTGGTGCTACTCAAGAGAACACACTGGACAGTCTAATGGTCCCCTCAGGCCTCAGTCTATGGACTGGCACAGGGCAGTGCCAGGGGCAGAGCTGCTCTACAGCTACCCAACGCTGGGGGCAAGCATCTTGGCCTCCTCAGCAGCAACAGGTTACTAGTAAATTGTTACTGGCCCCAAACACCTGAGAACAAGGAGGAGTCACTGCCAGAGACCCAAGGGGAACCCTCTACCAGCACAAGGGGACCAGGGCCTCCCTGTCCTAGGCTGCTCTGCCATGACTGGAAGAATTTGTGCCAACCCCAACAATGGAGTTTGGCACTGAGAATGCAGGTCTGATGGGAAGTGGGCTGAAACACATCAAATTCACCGCATGCAGTCCCTGCATGGGAACAGCCTGTCCCCACTGCTGATCTGGGTTTCATTTGGACCTCAGACTTCAGGGACAAAGGCTTCAGAGCCCATTAATGATCTTTGAGCCTTCTCAGACATCTTGGGGGTCGAGGGGGGAAATGCATTGGGGGTCTCTGTTGAGACTGGATGCCCCCCCCCACACACCGGTCAGAGTCTGAGATACTATAAATTACCTCTGTTGCTTCTGCTCAATGCCCTGACTTTACACCAGCCATTGCCTCGCGCTGGGACTCAGAGCCGGGGGTGGGGAGAAGAATTATTCTAGGAAGCCGGTGTCAGGCACCATGGCAACCGAGGGAGAATTCCCGGTAGAGCCTGGTTTTCCCGACTCCTCCCTGAAGGAGCGGGTGGCCCAAGCTCAGCAGAGCCCTCTCCCTGAAAAGAAATCAAGCTTCCCCCCAGCCCTTTCACCAGGAGGCTGCAGATGGCAACCCTCTTTGCTGGACATAATCTGTGCCAATAAATCCAGGCCTCCCATCAACAGGCTCCACTTTGCTCACAGATGCCACGCTGAGATGCACTGGCATTTCCCAGGAGGCATCTAACATAGGGAGTAAGTGAGGAGACATGGAGAGAGACACCCAACCCCCTGTTGCCTTAGCCCTGGGCAGGGTCCTCTGAAGAACCCCAGTGACCCTCCCTTTTGCTGCCCCACGCCGGGCCTTGCCCTCTCAGCAGTATCTTAAATGCTACCAATATAAATCAAAAGCCCTAAACTAGTAGCAGAAGGGCTGAGTGCACTAATAGGTATCATCACCCTGCCCCACAGTCGGGCCGGAGGGAGTCATGCCTCACCGCCCTGGAGTGGCTTCCTAGATCCAACCCCCACCATGAATCCAGGGACTGAGTTCTCTCACACACTTCTGGGGACATCCCATGTCCCCACACCAAGTCAGCCTGCAGGGGAACTGCCTGGACTCAGCTGCCTCGGCTCAGCTGGTTGGCAAAGGTTACACCCCCATAGCAGGAGCAAGCTTCAAAACACAACATGACTGACACATTTTCAGTCCCATGAACACTGTGGCTTTAACCAGCATTGACCAGTTCACGAAGCTCAAAGTGCCTTGCAACCACAGAGCTTCATGCTAATCCTGCAGGCAGGATGTTTCACAGATGGGAATACCGAGGTGCAGAGAACAGCGTGCCACGGGCTGAAAAGAGCCACGGACAGAGCTGGGTTCTCCTGATCTCATCCACCCCACAGCCAGGCCCCTGCACTGACCACTAGACCAGGATGTCAGTAAGTCCTGCCTCCACTGGAGCCTGCTCCAGTGCACTGGGCCATTTCATTCCCTCCCTGCAGCCCCCACTCAGCCTGTGCAGCGAGCACACTGCAGCACTCTCTGCCAGGGAAGCCAAGCGGGGCAGATGGGAGGAGACAGTCACTGGATTACACATGTCGGGGAAACAAGCAGGTTTTGTGGGTGAGGCCAGGCCCCCATCAATCAAAGGATGAATGAGAGGCCCCAACAGAGCGATGGGCAAAGTGCAGAAGAGCCCCCTGCACTGTGAGAGGTAGAAAGAGACAGGAGGGCTTGCTGTCAGGGCCATGGAGCTTGCAGCATGCCTTTCCACTCAGGAAGGGAAGCCCCTAGTATTACCAGGCTTGCAGCACAGAACCAGCAGCAGGCTGTGACTGCTCAGAGTCAGGCCCTAGGCTGGCTGCAATGGCCAAACTAGCATTATAGCCCACCACACAGGAGAATCCCATAACCAACCCTCTGCCCCCCACTCCCCAGACATGATCAGCCTCCTGGGCTGGTCATAAAGGGTGGGTGAGGGCAGGAGAAGCCTGGCTGCTATCTCCTTCTCAGCCTAAACACAGACACATGAGACAGGGGGCATCCTCAGGTCAGTGGGGAGATGCTGAATGGATTAAGAGAAGCAAAAATACAGCTGGGGAAGGCCCTCCACACTAGCAGTGCACTCCATAACCACAGAGCCTAGAATGGCACAGTACTCGCCATGTCCTGGCACTCTCTCTTGCTCCCAGGACTCCTCCCAGGACCAGCCAGCTCCACACTGGAGACTCAGCACCCTTCTTGCAGAAACACCAGGCACTCCCAGAGCCTCTGTTCCACTGGTGCTGAGTGCAGGAAGGAGCTGTGTCACCTACCGCCACGGTGACTGGGGATGGGGTGATCCAAGCCCTGTAGATCTGGGCTGTGGGCTTGATCCAAAACCCACCAACACCATGATAAAACCTGTGCCTTCTCCTGACCCACCACTGGCCTGTCTTGGGTGCCTGGATCATAGGAGCAGACAGCCCAGGGGGAACATGGGGACAAGGCTCAAGTCAGAGCTGCCTTTGCCTCCTCCCCACAGAGAGCTCTGCCCAGGTCAGTGGTGCATGGCTCGTGGGAGGCGAGAGACGTGCTGTGATGGGGCCTGACAAACCCCAGCCAGTGGCACAGGCCTCCAACCTTGACATGTGAGGGGACAGGCCACGAACCAACTCCTTTGCCCACCTTGCTCAGCGCACCCGAAACGCAGGGACCCTCCATCCCTGACTCGAGCAGAGCCAAGGCAGGCTGGTCATACCTTTGGCACCATGGACCTCTGGCTCTCTGCCCCTACAGGGCTTAGCAGGTGACCGAGCTCCACCAGGGTCCAAGCGGCCCATGCAGTGCTTGCAAGCCAAGCCCACCTGCCCCTTGCCTAAGCACAGCTCCCAGGCACACCGTGCACTGCACGCCCCAAGCCCTTCCTCGCCACCCTGTGGCACTTCTTCCACGCAAAGCAGCGCACTGAGGGGAGCCAGCCTGACAGTCACTCGGACCAGGCCTGGCCGGGGAACAGCCAGAAGGGCCTGTCCTGGCCGCAGGCAGCTGGGAGGTGACTCCCCATGTCCTGTGACCACAACTGCCTTTGTTCCAGCCTCCGGGACCTGCGCTGGGGCAGGCCAGCCAGCCGGGGGGCTCCTGCACTAGATCCCCTAAACCTGGGGGGTCCCATCCCGCTCTCCCAGGGCTCAGCCAGGGCTGGACACCTGGCAGGGCACCACCTGCCACCCCGTGCTTCAACCCACAAGGAAAATGGCTGGGATCCGGAGCTGGGTCACACGCTGCCTGCAGCGGGGGTGGGGGTCGGAGCCGGAGGGGTGTGCCTGGCGGCAAGCAGGTGGACAGACAATCCGGGACAAGGGAGGGTGGACAGACAGAGGGGTGGGGATGGCCTTGTTGGGGTGGGGGGAGGAGAGGGGGCAGGCAGACACTCCGACAAGGAGGGCGCCTGGGGGAAGGGGCAGACAGACAGATGCCGGGCGGAGCCCCTGGGCTCACGTCCCCCCCCCGGGGTGGGGGTGGGCGTGTGGGGAGGGGCCCGATCCGGCCCCAGGGCGCCTCGGCCAGCAGCAGACAATGGTGCCGCAGCCCCGGAGAGAAACAAGGCGGGGACGGGGGGATCCGCACCCCCAGACACACACACACGCGCGCACGCACACACATACATACACGCGCGGGGCCGCGCCCCCGCCGCAGACAAAGGCCCGTGTCCCGCTGGCTCACCCTGCGGGCTGGGAGGGTCCCCCGGAGACTTGCCCAGCGCCGGCCCGATGCCGCCGGGGAAGAGCAGCAGGAGCAGGAGGAGGCGGCTGCAGCAGCACCGCCGGGCTGCCATGGTGCTGGCGGCCGCTGCCCGCTGCCCCCGGCCCGGCCCGGCCCGGCCCCGCCCTACCCGGCCATGCCCGCCCCGCGCCCCTCCCGCGCCGCCGCCTCCCCGCGCCGCGGCTGTGGGATCTGGTTACGCGGCGATTTTTCCCCGCCGCACGAGCCCCCTCCCCTGCGGGAGGCAGAGCCGGGGGCCGGGCTCCATCTGCAGGAGCAACCCGGCATGGCCGCCCCCGCAGCCCCCGCTCCCCGGCCGCCTGGGCCTCAGTCCCTGCCCCGAGGAGCTGCGCGGAGCGGCGGGGTGGGGGGGCGCGGCGGGGCGGGGTGGCCCTCGGGCTGCACCCCGCTCTTTGTCACCGCAGCTCCCCCTCCCTCAGGGCTGACGAACACCTTTCCTTCGCCCCCTTCCCGCCAGGGACCTCTGCCCCAGACCCGCCGTACCCCGACGTGGAGCCGGAGAAGGGACAAGCCTGAGCCCAGGGCAGGGCCCGAGCCAGGTGGAGCCTGGGGGGTTAGGGCTGGTCACCACCAGGTTGGCAGTGGTGTGGTGCTGGCCACAGCTGCGCGCGCTGACCAGTGCCACCTTCCTCGCCTCGTCTACAAGCCCGGCGGTGTTGCCCGGAGGAGGACGAGGTGGCACAGGGCTGCAGGCACCTTGGGTCTACCGCAGCTCCTGGTACGGCTCCCAGGAGAGCTGAGCGGTGGTGAGCGGGACAGTGGGATGTTTTCTTGGCGGCGCCAACCAGCCATCTGCTCCCTCCACCCCATTGTGTGGCTGAGGGACCGCGGGTCAGAGCAGCACGGGGGCCTTCTCCCTGCCGAGGAAGTCATCTGTGTCTGCACCTGCCAGGGCCAGCAGCTCCCTCGAAGACAGTTGCATGACAGAGAGGTGGGGGAGGGGGGAGTTGACTCCAGGCAAGACCACACACAGCCCTATGCCTGCTGCATGTACACCCTGGCATACACAAATACTGCAGCTCCCACGTGCGCCTGCACACACGCGCGCACTAGTGCCACCCCTCCCACCACGACGTGCACATGCACACACACATGCCATAATTGCCACCAGTGCATGCACACATGCTCACGCTAATAACAGACCATACACCAATACACAGGTGTGCTCACACACAAATGCCACACCTTTCTGCTAACACATGCACACACAGTCCGGCACACACAAATCCCACACTGCAGCTCAGGCATTCCTAGGGGCACACATTAATGCCACGCTCTCCACTAATACCGGTATATCTATACCCGTGCTGAACCACACCTCCCTCTAATCCGTGGACACACATTATATACCTTAATACCCAAGTGCCCATTAATGCATGAGCCCACAGGCACTCTAAAACCACATCATCCATTAATGCATGTGCGCACAGATGCACATGCACGCACACACACGCTATTGGACCGCCGCCCAATAATTCATGTGCACACAAATAACACACCTCTACCAATGTGTGTGCATGTAATACACAAACATTAACATGCTCCCACTGATGAATATGTGGACAGGTCTACATCTCTACACACGTCCTCTTGCTCCTGTTTACTGCTTGTCAGCCCCAGCCCAGTGCTGTGCCCTGCACTTTGCAGTGACCTGGTTAAACCATGTGCTAACTTTTATAGACGCTGCCTGGTGAATATTAACAGGACAGTGTGCCGTGTGAAGTTCCTGGTGCTGCTGCCCAGGACCTGCGCTGCCTGTGACGTGCCCTGACTGACAAAAGTGCTGAGGGCAGACCACCCCCCCTTGCTAATTCTGCAAGGCCTGGGGTAGAACCTGGGGATGCTAGAGATTCACGGCCACTTGGGTCACCTTTTGCTGAGCCAGCCCTACAGTAGGGAGCCACGTGCTAGGGGCTGCAGAAGGGTGACACCCTGGGACATTGTAGGGATATTTTTGTTATAGGAGTTCCCTGTTGTGTAATTCCAGTGGAAAGCCATGTATCAGCCCTGAGCTTCTGCCAGCTTCTATGTGACAGCTGCAGAGGCTCTGTCCACACTTCAAACACAATGATGGCTGGCATCTCCGCTCAGGGCACCCGGGAGACCCACTTTGCACTGTACACTGCAGATGCACTTTTACACAGCTAAGGAGGCTGTGAGCTGGTACCCTGCCCTGGCTGTATCACTCAGCACAGACCAATCTGAGCCACTGCACTCTGGCGAGAAGGAAAGGTTAAGGCCAAGTTAACAGCCCCCTTCCATGTGGAGATGTTTGAAGAAAAACAACCTGCCTCTGTTGTCTTCTACCAGCAGTTGCCTCCCTGCCAGCCCCTGACCTCTTGCCCTCTAATCCAAGTTGATGGAAGCAGGGATGGCACAGAGCCAGCAACGGGCTCTTTCACTATGAGCACAACTTTGAGTTCACTCATGGCGCAAGGGGAGATCTCTTGTGACTTTCAGCCTGATCCATTTTGCAAATTACCCCTGATGTCTGGATATGGAGGAAGCATTTGGGGCCAGATGTCAATGCAGCACTAATAGCACCAGTCCTGACCTACACCACTCCCCGCCTTCTAGCCCTTTTCTCCTCACCCACACAGCTCTGCCAATGACCCTCAATCCCAGCATTTAAAACCCACTGTTATTCCCTTCCCAGACTCCCTGCCATGTTACCTGCTAAGATGTTGCATATTCAGGATGCCTCAGTTTGGGGTGCATAATGTTGTCCCCTGGGGCCTGATTTCCCATGGCACCTTTGAGCCCCAGCCCAGGAAGGATACTAGATAGTAGCAGTTGTGGATTCTCAGCCCCATGCTGGAAATTTGGACTCTTGAGCAGACGTGAGCATGCTCACAGGGAACTGCACCCCAGGACTCATGTCTGCTTGAGCTAAAGGCCTGCACTCAGCTGCAGACTCTGGAAACAGACAGGAGTCTAGACATGGCTATGGTTTGCCATGGGTCTTCGGCTTAGCCTTTTCCTTTAAACTCCCTGGGCCGTCAGAGGCTGTCACCCCCATTCACTAGAGTAGATCCAGTTGAGCAGCCATACAGCCCCAAAAAGTCTCCCTGGCCTGCACCATGGAGAGCAGCCTCTGCCAGAGCTTCCACCCTGGTGGCCTGAGGGAGCAGCCCAGAGTAAAGGTCCAGACTCACTGGCATGCTTGGGGCAAAGGAACAGCATGGGTCACTGCCCTACAGCACAGATCAGCAATCACACCTCAGAAAAGGGCCAGTGCTGGAGCTGGAGGATGGTCCAACCCTTTTATAAGCCTGAGCATGAGCTGGGAATCTTAGTCCCATCACACTGAAGGGCTGAGGAGAAGCCAGTGGTAGTGTCCCCAGCTGGATACTGGCAACCTTCCCTGCCAGGTGAGGGTCACAATACCTGGCTCTCCCCCACCCAAGGTAGGAAAGGAGGACAGTGCCTACAAGAGGATGCTGGAAAGAGGTTTATTGCAGAGCAGGAAGCAGGAGGGTGGAGCTCAGGGTTTGGAGTGGGTGCACTGTGCTCAGAGTGGGAGAAGCATCTCCCAGAGGGTACAGCTGGGTGTAGGGTTGTGCCCTCCATACCTGGTGACTCAGTAGCCATTGGCACTTGCCTGGAGGACTGATCAGCCTCTTCCTGGGGTGAAAAATAGGGACACACCAGCCTCCAGCCCCAACCTCAGAGGTGGGGTTTGGGCAGCATCCATTTCAGCTCCTCTCCCCCTTTATCCAACAGTGGACAGTGTTTTCTGGGGCTAAGACATGGGCTCTGCAATGTTGTGTCTCTGTCTGCTCTAGCTTTACTACTTTGGTACTGGGATACTGCACACCGAGTGGACCACTGAGACACAGGAAGGGACCTGGGCCCCTGATCGTTGGTGCGAGGAGACCAATCCAAGCAGAGCAGGGCCACTGGAAGAGAAGATCTCTGTGTGGCAGGACCCTGTGAGGACATGAACTTAGTCTGGGAAAGGAGATGCTTCTTGTAGGGGAGAGGTAGGACTCTGTGTGCCAAAGCGGGTATGTGGGGCACAGGTAGGACAGGACCAGTCTGTCTGGAGGAGGCAGCAGCTCTGCTCCTGTCTGCTGTGGGTGGAGCCCTTGGCACGGGCTGGGGAGAGACCAAGCAGGGACAGGAGCACAGGAGAAGGGACTGGGCTCCACTGGGGGACATGTCAGTCCAGGTGTTCTCTACTGGCCCTACTCTGCCTGGGATGCCCCATCCTCGTCACTCTTTAGGTCCTCTTCATTCGAGAGTGGCCGCTTCCTCTTGAAAAAGCCCATCTGCAGTAGAGCACAGAATGGTTATTAACAGGTCTCTGACATCCCCAGACAGCACACTCCCAGGGTGGCCTGGGCCAGGAGTCATCCCTACTCTAGGCCCCCACCAAGCTAGTTGGGGTCAGTTCCGCAGGAGATCATGCCACACACCAGACTTGTCTCCCCAACGACTATGCCCCCACTGCCAGCCCTGGGCTAGGCTGTTTTCCCCATAATCATCCTGTCCCAGCAGGCCCCTTGAGCGTAGGTGACATGCTGGTGGCCAAGGCCTCACCTTCCACATGACAAAGATAAAAATGGCCAAGAGCAGCAGCCCCGCCAACACAGCCAGCACTATCCACCAGGTGGGGATCTCCTTCTTGCCATTGGGGCTCACCCGCAGCAACTTCGTGTCAGCCTGGAGAGGAAAGACAGGTTAGTGCCTGGGCCAACAGCAGGGTCTAAGGTGGGGCCTGCTGA